TTGTTGATAAATACCGAAATGAAATGGAGAACGAATTTTCTTCCTTTTCTGAAGGCCTGACAAGAAAGGCGCCGTCATATCGGAGCCGTTTGAGCATATCCTCCGCCTGGACTCGTGTCATATTCGAGTGATACCAGTCCTTGCCTTCGTGTGAGTTGGGCTGAGGCACGGGTTCAGTCAATTGGATGGCAAACTCTTGACTTCGCAGTGGATGCGATTGATAGTGAGTTATGAGACCGTAAAGCGTGTCAAATGTGACCGAATCTATTAAATGATATTTAGTTCCCGTTCTCTCCTGTTTTTGTTTGATTCGGCAGTGATTGACGCGACCCTCTCTCCAGAACGACAGCGAATAGTCGCCGACAAACGTATCGCTATCTCTCACTAGAAAAGTTCCGTTCCCTAAATGCGAGTACCGGTGCAGAAGGGCTTCGGCCTGATTGCGACCGCCCGCTAGCTTTCCGTGAAACCACTTCTCATCCAAATGCAACTCTTCGGTGCCAATCAATGAGCCCTCTCTATGAGCCAAACCATTGTGTCGTTCGCCGTCGTTGTCGTCGTCCTCTTCTGAATTGTGGTCGTTCTCCGCGTAATACATCCTATCGTTGGTCAACATAAAGAAGTGGGGCTTCCATTCCTGGGTATAATCATAAAGATTAGAATCACAACATTTTAGGCATTAAAATAAGAAACAGAATATTCTGCTTACAGTGCATATCCTATCGATGGGATCTTCCAGATATAGGACGCCATTCTTAACAGAATTACTGACATCCATATCAGTAATGTTGTCGTCATTAGTCTTTATGGGAATAAATTTCTCGTCCGAACCCTCCGGTAATTTTTTGTGCTATAAAATCAGTTGACATTAAAATGAAGGCAACAAAACACGCTTAAGGAATGTGTTAACAAACTTTAATTATAAACTTCCTCTTGAGCTGATTGGGCGAAGGCATAGCCACCCCATCCTTCTCGACCAGTTGTGTGAGTAATAGGTCTCCGAAGACATCTCTGAACGCCTGAGCCATATATTTCTGCTGAGGAATACTGCAGTGGTTTTCGATCGACAAAATGACCGGATATTCAGACGTAACGAAAGCGTATTCTTTAATCGTTTTGATGACATCAATAAACTTGATTCGAGTGGTAAGTGTGTGGCCGTGAAATATAAGTGGTTTGCCTTCCGGTCCGTCCCAACAGTCCACTGATTCACACATATTATCGATTAAATCAATTAATTTGTCACAAATTATTATTCAATTTCTAATTCTTACGTTCAATACAACGACAGCCCATCCGAAGACATCGGGCGTAGGCGTCGGTGGACGACTCGCTCGTCACCTGATCTTTGGTTAAATATGTGTTGTGCGAAGAGGCGATCCAATAGTGAGTGAGTGGTCTATCCATGTCTTGGTTCACCACATCATGACTTGTGTCCCAAATCTCGTTTTGTTTGGAAAATAAATAATTCATAAACTCTTTAATTGTAAAATAAGGTTCACTTGATTCGCGTCTCAAGTCCCTAAGAAACTCTTTCATCTGTTTGTGGACAGTCTTGAGATCGTCATCAATCGGTTCCCTCTGTTCCGCATCCAAAAAGTTGGCAAATTCTTGAGCAGTGATTAGTTTGCGATCATTAGAATAGGAGGCAAAGTATTCGCAAAAGATTTTGTTGTCATAAATAAGATTGTGATAAAAAGTGCTGAACCCGTCGAACCCCATCTCTCCTGTCTTCTTGTGGTCTATTTCTTGGAAATATTCCTTAAGTTTGTTGTTTTGAATTTTGCTATTATTTCGTGTGAGAAATGCCTTCAATTCTTTGAGCGATATTCTGGAGAGAAATATGTGATAACATGAATGCGATAACAAAAATACCGGAAACTAATCCATCAATCAATCAATTTCTTACACGGATTTAGAGTTTTCCGTCAAATAAAACTCTTTTCTCAGCCATAGATCTAACTGAAGATAATGAGACGCCCTCTGAGTCTCTTCGAACAGAAATCTAAGGCCACGAACCCATTGCTCGCACTCACGAGGAGTGTTGGCTATCATTCAAAGTTATTTCAATCAAACATAAGACACACAACAACTCAAACAATTGACACGAAAAGACATACCAATACATGACAGTGTCTTTAGGCGGAAGGTCTGTCCGTATAGTATACTCAGACACGTCTCCCATTTCCTGGACGCGGGATCTTCTTCGACCATTTTGTCCATAATCTTAGAAATGGGTCCACTTCTCACTTCCTTCACTTCTCTCAAGTCGATTAAGCCATCGATGCCTGACTTGAGATCCACTGAACCGGTCGTCCAAACCAGTTGTCGGGCGTCTATGCGGACGAAGAATGTCTTTCGTTCGGGTTTTCGTTTGTTGAAGAATTTGGTCAAAACTGATCCGCTTTGGAGTCGTCTAATGATATCCTCCATCTCTTTAGAGGCGGCCGAGAAGGAGACGCCGGCCATCATTGGGTGACCGCCGGCCGCACCCCACGGACCCCCTCCGCCCCCTCTCGACGACCCATTCATTGGTCTCATTGGGTCGGGAGGTGTGACTCGAGAGCCGAAACGAGTGATGGATTCAGTACTCAGTGATGACAATATGTGACAATCGATGGCAACACAAATAGACAACAATGTTATGAAAAGTTGACAATTGATTGCGAAACTGATAAACCATTTGAAAGCATCGCTACTCTAATACACATCCAATGAATTGGACTTTTAATTAAGTATTTGATTAACAATTTTATAACTAAACTATAGATTCAAATAAAATATATTTTTCACTTCAAAACCGATTCATTGTTTTGTTTACAAAGTGTTTCTCCAAAACAGGTTTTGGCTTCAGTTGTGAATGAAATGCAAACTTCAAACACATATCATATGATTGTTTGTCTCAAAGAGTGAGAGAGAGAGAGAGAGTATGAGTGGAGTCTGACATCACATCTCTACAGTATATAACAACTTTGTTCTCCACTCTTCGCATCAGTTCATCACTTATTCCCTGTTTTACCACTTTTTCATCAATTATTATATAACACTTGAATGAGAAATAGCACTGAAAACAATCAAACACTACAAAACACTACAAAACACTGTATAACTTATGACTATTACACACACTGTTTGGCATAAATTTGTTTAATTAGCGTTCAATTGTATGCATTCACTACTTGACGACAAAACTTTTGAAAACTTCAACGTTTAGTTAGTTTTATCGATTGATTTCTCAAATGATTGACAAATTGTTATCGCATTTTCCACTCAAAGAATAATACAATTCTATGCGAACTATCACTTAATCACATTCCTGTCAGTCTTTCAGTCGTTATACACGACTAAAGTATTGTAAATATTCTGCAATTAAATGAATACACATTCATATATCTTGTAATACAAGGATATTCTTTACAAATAGAGTATTTACTGAGAAATATAAAGTTTCAGACAAAATACACAATAGTTTTATTTGTTTGCTTAGGTTTTGATGATATTTATAATAATAATAAAATAAAATAAAGTCCTTATCGTCTAATTTATAGCTAATTACAGATAACTTATACAAAAGAAGAAACATTTTATTTGATAGAAATGTTGTAAATTATATGATATTACATGTAATTTAACAAAATTATAATTATTATCTTGATTTTTGAACACAATGTCATTTGTTTTCAAATTTTATATTACTTTCAGTCAAATTTTCCATGTATTTAATTCAGAATAAAATTTTCCAAAGTTTTATTTATTTAAAATACAATATGGTCATTTAAAACAAAATTATATACAATTAATAAAATTATTGTAATTAAAAACAAATTACATTTTTTTTGTTCAAAATATTTATAATTTTTGGAGAATCAGTTGAAAATTTGTTAACAATTAGTTCAAAATTTCATTATTAAATTTACTCTAAAGCAATGGTTAATTGGTATCTAAATTCATTAGAATTGAGTTTAAATATACGATAATTATTCATAATTATTGTTCGCTTGTAATTAAAGTTAAGTCTAAAACCGGTATTTTTAGTATACATGACTTTTTATTCACTTATCATCGGATAAACTGAAAACACAATTTACTTAAACAATGATTATAATCTCAAATCATATATAAATCTAAATATATATTAAAGTAAAAATACGAATGAATTAACAGTAAATGGTTTTATATTTATACAAAATATCTTTTTAATGGAACGTTTGCTTCAGAATCGGAATCCGAGTCCAATTCGTAGACAGACCTCCAGTCCTTGTTCTCAGAGCGACGAAACCGATACGCTTTCCACTCACAGAAATCCAATAAATTATAACAAACGCCACGACTATTGAGTAGTTATTTACAAATTATTAATTAATTTCACACCAAATATATAAATCAAGTATTACTTGAAAGGACTAATAGGGCCTCCATTATCATCCCTTTTGAAATGTTTATAACGCCTACAATTCATTCGCTCATTTGTAGTCATTCCCAACCATACAATCTGTTATACATTTTGTTAGAAATTCAATCATATTTAGAAAATTGTAAATTGTATCAAAACAATGGATTACTTGATAGAGTTGACACCAAACCAAACAGAAGACCCAAGTGCTGTGAACGGCAGCATTCAGTGCACACCATGTAATCCATCCGTTGTGAGACCACGAATAAGATATAATTGTCCACACATTGGAGTCTTCATTGTATGTCATGTGCTTTTCAATGTCTGTTCAAAAACAACAATTTACCTAAAATTCTTTGTTTCGTATGTAAAACAAACAAATTCTTACATAAATAAGTGCCGTAAAGATACCACACAATCACTAAATATAGTGACATGAGATACCATATGAAGTACTTGTGATTGAGAGCGCCCACACAGTTGGCGACCCACGGGCAGTGGTGGTCAAACCGGGCCACACATTGGTTGCATAGTGAGCAGTGTTTGGATCGCAATGGCTTTCTAATTAAACATGTGCTGCAAAACCATTGCGGGTCGAAACCATCCCTTTCCGCTAATTCTATAATTGTCTACAAAATAAAAGCACAAAAAACTTAATACAAAGACAATAATACAATGAGATGAATGTCTGACTCGAAATCGGTGGTCATGATCTTTGACCACAACTCCTGGATCACAAGTGCACGTCCGGTAAAAGCTATAGAAAAGCAATGTAGATGTGGCCACAAATGCAAACAAATTGATAAAACCAAATACTATATGAGAGAGAAATGTGATGAGTTATCAACTAATTCTTTGACAAAACACAAGAATTTCATACATTGATAGAAATATGTCATGAAAGTGAAGTAAAGCCAGAATTTGGTTGATATATAGATACTGATGGGCATTATGTTATACATGCGATCATCAAATATAAAGCGAACCAAACCCCAGCTCACGAGAGACAAGAGAGAAAATAAAACAATTTTCATCGGGAGAATGAATTCCGAAGCGAAGAGTAGTCCGAAAAGCAAATATGCGACTAAAGGAGAGCCAGACATCAGCCAAAGCCTAAACACTCTGTCTTTAAGCGAAGGAAATCGCAATTGCTTTCCAAACAAATGACAAGACATGAAGACTCTCTCTTTCTTGTGGGCGTCTTCTAAGCGACGTCTTAACCAAACGTTTCCATTCAATTTGTTGGCCATTTCTAATGCCGTATCTCCGGCGCCGTTCTTCGCCGACACGTTAGCGCCCGCTTTCAATAGCAATCCAACGGTAGACGCGTTTCTGGAGAAGACGGCCCAATGGAGTGCTGTATTTCTGTTCTGTTTATCACATAATGAAAGACTAGCGCCTAATGTAATGAAAAGTCGGGTCGGATCACTCCTAAACACCAAACCATTCAATTCATACAAATTCAAACTTATTTTCAATCATATCTTACGCATTCACTCTGAAGGCCGACCACATCAATGGTGTCATACCATTAGCGTCCGATGCATTGATCTCTTGTCCCTTCGCCACCAAATACGCGGCAATCGATGTGTGACCGAACTGTGCGGCCAAATGAAGACAATTCGTGCCTATAATTCATTATACATTCATTTCAGATCCAAACGTATTCAACACAAGTGTTGGCAATACCTTCGCCGTCAAGAATGGCCGGATCTGCTCTGTGATGCACCAGCAGTACAACCATCGAAAGGTGTCCCTGTCTTGTGGCCCAATGCAATGGTGTTGACTGAAGATCGCCGCCCACGGCGTCAACATTGGCTCCCTTTCCGATGTAATACTTAACCAAATCTCGTCTGTTATTAATGGCCGCCCAATGAAGAAGCGTTACGTTTTCGGCGTCCCTTTCATTCACATCGTAACCGCTTTCCAACAGTTCTTTGCATCTCTCGAAAGCGCCGTATTGTGTGGCCCTCACGATATCCAACTCATTCACATCGGGTCCAGTCTTCTCGGCTGAGGCCACGCCCGACGCTGTGGTCGCCGCCGATGACTCTTCAGTCGCCGACTGTATATACAAATCAAACGAGAATCACAAGTGAGTGGTTGTAATCATGTCCTCAAATGGCCATTGAATGGTAAGAAGTGATGGTTTGGTGGACTTACTTGTGGTGCGGAAGCGGTGGCCAAATAGAGGGGCGAACACGGGTTGGGCTCTAACTCATTGCCGTCTCTCATGTCTCAGACCTCAACTCAATTCACATTTAATTTTGCGACAAAACAATTGAGACAATCGTTGGTTCACTTCTTCTTCTGGTTATACGAGAAGCGTCTGAAAGGACTGATTGTTAATCATTATTATTATTGTCTCACAAATGGTTTAATCAGTGATTGAAACCAAACACTGAAATCAAATGTAAATATGATTTCAAATTTAAATGTAAATCCAATTCAATGTATACTTTATTTCACTAAACATTTCATTCACAATATAAGGGATAACCGATACTTATATAACGTTACCATTTGTCCCATTTTTTGCTCCCCTTTCTGTCAAACTATGCGTCAAACGGCTATCAAATTACATAACATCTGCCTTTCGGTCGATAACGTTGTCTATGAATTGGATGACTAACTGTGAAGTAATAGAAACTTCATTACAACTGTCCGTCAATTATGTCAGCATTTGTTGAATACAATTATGCATTGAATGTATTGAAGGGTTGTATTGAATGCAGACGTTATTTATTCCCATTGAATGGAAAGCATGTCTCGTGTGAATCGCTTTTTAAATGTGAAAGTGTTTACAATTAACTGATTTAGAGATCAATCGCTTGTAATAAACAATACATTGATTTTGTACTCAAAAACACATCCAATCTTTCAATCAATGATTTAAGCCTTAAATCAATGCAATTATCGTTTGATTTGAGTTAATATTAGGCAATAATTGGCAACACTTTGACTATTAGTGAAACATTGAAAGGGATTTGTAAATCGGTTTCGCATTGAATCAGCAAAATGGGTAACGTCTTGGCCGCCGCCTCACCCCCACCGCCCCTCCCATCAGGTCTGTCGCCCCCACCGCCGCCACAATCGCCAGGCGATGGTCCGCCCAAACCTCCCGACACCGCCGCCGACGACTCGAATCCCGGATCGATGGAAGAGTTGCATAAGAAGTGCAAAGGTTTGCCAATAAAAGGAGTTGTCATTTGGTTTTAACGGATGCATTGGTTTTGATTTTAGAGGTGTTTCCCATGCCTTTCGATGGCGCCCGAGTGGTGATCACTAAAGGGCTGAGCAATCACTTCCAGTTGAGTCACACCATCAGTATGTCCAACGGTGTGACAATTCCGGCCGGTTATCGGTTCGGCGCCACATATATCGGCACCAAACAGACGTCGCCCACAGAGGCGTACCCTATAGTGTACGGAGAGATCGATCCGTCGGGTAATATGACGTCAAGAATCCTGCATTTGGTCGGCGATCGCGTCAAACTGCAAATCGGCGCTCAGATACAGGACGCCAAGTGTGTGATGGCTCAGCTCACCACTGACTACAGGGGCCGCGACTTTACCGCATCGCTCACGTTAGGCAACATTGACTTAATTAACTCGTCCGGAGTGGCAGTACTTCACTATTTGCAAAACGTTAGCCGCAGAGTAGCCCTCGGAGGCGAACTCGCCTATCAATACGGACCACAAGTGCCCGGCAATGAAATCGCCGGTAATTTTCGGCGTTTAATTATTTTAATATCTAAAATATTTGTTATATTTTGTTTAGTACTATCACTGGCCGGTCGTTATTCCTCTCCCAATAGCTTTACATTAAGCGGAACTCTAAGCAGTTCTGGCGCTCATCTCTGCTATTATCAAAAGGGAGGCGAAAATATTCAGGTAATGGACAAACTATTTGCTACCTTTTCTCTTGATTTACGATTGCAATGAATACTAAACTGTAATTAATTGTACTTTGAAATGAAGGTCGGAGTAGAAGTGGAGACAAACTTACGAATGGCTGAAAGTACGGCAACGTTTGGATATCAGGTCGATCTGCCGAAAGCCAATCTCCTATTCCGAGGTTTGTGTCCATATTTGATGTTTAATTGAATTGTGTATTAACTCAACCAATGATCGCAACGACAGGAATGGTTGACAGCAATTGGACGGTCGGCGGTGTCTTAGAGAAGAAACTACTGCCCCTTCCGTTCACGTTTGCACTGAGCGGACAAATAAATCATATAAAACACGCGACCAGAATCGGTGCCGGACTTTATTTAGGATAATAGTTATTCAATTAGATTACATTTCACTGGTAGTCATAGAAAGTCATTAACAGTTATATTTTAGCGTTTCTTTTATTAAGAAATAAGTTTTTTCGATTGATTTATATATTATATAATTTTTTTAGTTGAGTTCGACTCCAGTATCTCTTAATTTTAAGGGAGACTTGAATTTTGTTGTAAACATTTTTTTTGTATTCATTTCTAATTATTTGATTGCTTTTGTTGTCATCAAAAGTATTTTATTATAAAAAGTGAATTTCAAATTATATAATCAATAAATTAATAAATAATTTTTTTTCTCAATTTATATAATAAATTAAAGACAATTTTTAAAGGAATAATTGACTAAAAATTTTTTATTACATGAAATACTTGTATTTTAAACAGAAGTCAATCATAAATGAGTTTATATCTGTCTGAATACAGATGTGTTTGACTGGAATATAAATGTTTAAAAAACTGAATTTAATTTTTATATTTATTGTTTACAGTAAACGAATTAAAAGTATTTGATTTGCATTCATAATAACGTTAAAAGTTTGTTTTTAATCTAGTTTATGTCACATACTATACAGTAAGGTAGCTATCAAATTGTTTTTATATTAAAATTTTTAAGTTATACTTAATTAGCCATTAATTAAGGATACCATCAAATTTCTGCTAAAAATTTTAATATTTTATATAAAAGATCTTAACTGTAATTATTAATGAAAATTATATTAATTTCATAATTTCAGATTTATCAGTATTATTATCACAAGTTAATTTAATTTTCCGGAAAGAGAGAGAGAGAGAGATTTAACATTTAACAATATTATACCATGGTAACAATAATAATAATTGTACAATTATCGCATTCTCTGAAATCATTTAACTTTCATGTTTTTGTGTCTTTAAATTGATTGAAAACTAAAATGTTTTATTTGTATTACGAAAAAATAAAAAGTTTAAAACCTTATATTCAATGGCATACAATTCAGTGAATTGCAACTGTTTTGATGTCATAATAGATAACTATTCCGGTTCTTTGAGGGCAAATGAAAAGCATTTTGTAGAAAAGTATCGTCCCTTTGAGGCACAGCTTCTGGCTTTTCATGCAAATCAATCTTCACTTTCCTCTCATCTTTGATTTCTATCATTTGCGAGGAATTGACAAAATTTGGGTTAAATTTTGAGATCAAATAAGACTTAATAATTCCTCTCTGAACTCATTCACTCTCTCATCCCATTCACGAATTTAAATGCTTTTCATTTAATAAATATATTTTTAAGCGTAAAGTGTTTTAAAAAGTGTTGATTTTGAGACAATGATTCAAAAGGTATAAGAATTATATGATCCAAAGTATTTACAATTTCAATTATTTTACTAACTTTTTTATTACAGATTTTTGTTTGGTTTTGTATTTTTCAATCAATTAATTGCCAGAATTCTGGTCAACAATCGTTTAACATTAAAGAGCCGTTTGTCTTCGATCTGCCGCCTCTTCAACTACAACCTCTTCAGCTAAGACTCAACCCGTCGTCGTCTTCACTATTTTTAGTGAAACAAAACGAAACGATTCCTATCGAGACCTTTCCCTCGCAAAGCCAACCAAACAATCAGTTCAGTCAAACGCAGCCAAAGTTTCAAAACATCCAAATACCACAAAATGTTGCCCCTATTTCTCCACAACCCGTACAACCGATATCCACTCCCGTTACGGCCCAACCCTTAGCGCCCAAACAGTTTCAATTCTTACCCTTAACTTTCCAACCCTTTCCTTCTCAACAACCTGCGCCCAAATTCCAAGCTTTCCAGCCTCTGGTACAGCAATCACCAGCCCCTCAACCATTACCGCAATCCCAACCTAAAGCCACTCAAACTTTGCCCCAAAATGCTGCCCAAACTTTACCCCAATTAGTGCCGCAAAATGTACAGCCAGTCGTCCCAAATGACTCCCCCGTAAGCAATGAAATCCCAAACATTGAAAGCGTATTGAGAGACCTCTCGTTGTATCAATACATCCCGTTTCAATTGCCCGCAAATGCCTTCATATTTCAACAACCGATTCAGTTTCAAACAAACCCGACTCAAACATTTCAATCGCCAGTGAGTGATAAAAACACTCACGTCTTACCGCCCGTCACTCTTCCGGCCATTAATCTGCCGGCAGAGGAATCGCCGATTAATATGTATGCCATTGAATGGCCCAATACTTCCAACAAAAACATCGAAACACCAGTTGATGCCAAACCCGCTGAAGTCGTCACTCAAGCGCCACAACAATCGTTTCAATTTTTACCAGTTTCTCAACCGACTCCTCAACCAATCGCTCAATCAGTCCCTCGACCACAAACTCTGAGTCCAATTATACCCCAACAAACTCTGTTCCCGAAACAAGCGATTGGTTCCTATAGACAGTCTCTTTTTCAAACTGTTCCCAATCTCTTTAAAACTAACTTTTCTTTCAAACCACAAACTTTGTCATCATTTACACCAAAAGCTGTTTCAACCCAAACAAAACCCAATGAAAATTTGCTAAACAATAGATTCTTCAGTCATACCGCATCTAATACTCCTACAGTTCCCAGTTTGCCATCAGCTCCTGTAGTCCCGACTACCAAAGCCAGTCAGGAGGCCCTCAGAGCCAGTATTAAAAAGTTTATAACAAAGCCGTCAATTGAAACTCAATTATTTAATAAACAATCGCTGCAAACAATTAATCAAAAATTTGCCCAATTTTTGATCCCAACATTGGCTGAAGCGACCGAATCTCCGCTACCTATCGATGACAACCAATCGGTTAATAATGAGAATCAGTGAGTTTATCGTCTCGTATTCACATACAGTCTATTTGTGTTAAATTTCGTAGTTTTTAAATATTTATAAATTAACATAATTATAGTTATTTTAAAAACCAATTTAAAAAAACGATAAAATTCACGAAAAGAGAGTAAAATTGTAAAAATATATTTCAATTTATAATTTGTAAAATTCCAGAATTGGATTCACAAATGAGCCGGAAATCAATCGCATACCCATTACTACTGACAAAAGTGTTAGCGAAACGAGAGATACGGTCGAGTTTGGCACTCGACTCAACAAAATTATCCCTTCGTTTACATCTTATTTCAATCGTGATTCTCAATAATGACTTATAAATTGTAATTATTATTAAATCGATTTTTACTTTTAATTTATGACTTTGAAAACCTATAATATTATACTTATTGTAAATCCTATAAAAATGAGTTTATTATGAATATTTTCTGCTAACATCTTTGTAATTGATTTTTTAAAGAAATGTTTTATCAATTTGTGTTAAATTGTAATAAAAAATATTTAAACCAAAACTAATGTTAAGTTTTTCACATAAAAATGAATTTTTGAACTTAAAAATGTTATTTCTTTAATGAGATATCAAATAAATGTTTAATAATTAATTTTTGTTATATTATTTGAATATATGTGTGAATTGAAAAAATTGTTATCAGTTTGAAATACTTTTTTTTCAAATATAAAGCACATAAGCCTTGTGTCAAAAAGTACATTTTACTGGTAACTCATTTTGCTTTCCTTACAAATATGTTAAACTTGTTTTGGGTTACAATTTGATGCTTTCATACATTATATGTTGATTAATGAAATACATTCTGAGTTAATCTTAAAGAATTTATGTGTTTATCACTATTGAGATCAACACAAAAATTGGGCAAATTTGGTGTCATTTGTGTTAAGAATTTGTGATGAGATCGACAGTGAAAATGTTTTTTTTTCTCAAAAATGTAAACCTTTTATATTTGTGTTAATGTCAGTCACAGAATGGGTGAACAATATTGAAGTGAATGAATGAATTAAAAATACAGATAAGCTATAATAACTAAAGATAAGGTTTAAAAATAATAGAAATTATATAACTTTTACATAAAACAAAATGTATATTTCAGAGGTAGAGACAAAAACATGTTATTTACATAATAACAGAAAAACTAAATTTAATAATAAGTGTTATATTCATTTTATAATTCTGTAATATTCTGCAACTCCTTGAACACAAAAAATGATATTATTATAAGTTATAACTAAGTTTCGAAACTTAAATTTAATTTTTAATATCATTATTAATTAAAATTTTTGTAAGCATTGAAATTTTAATCTTAAGTTTAATGTCTGTTACATGACTGACATTATAAATATTATCGCAATATTGACCCACAATTAACATAACAAACAATTCTAGTTTTTTAAATTTTAACTTTTTTATTAAAAATCAATATTAAATTACAGGTAATTAATGACAATCACAAAAAACAAATTTTTATGATAATTAATTGAATGAAATACAAGGTATTAAGATATGTATCAATAGTTAGTGATCAGACGTCTGTGATATTAAAGTACTGTTCAGACACGACAACGAGTTTGCATTCATAACCCGTTCGCTTCACAAGTGTCTCCGTTTGTGGCCGTAATTTCATCTCAATATTTGCGCCTATAATTGAAATATTGATTAAAATGCAAATCAAATCTATTATTAATGAGAAAAATTTAAATAACCATCAAATAAAACATGTGCTGAAATGCAAATTAATAAATGTTTAATTATATAAACTATTGTTTCGATACAGAAGTAAGAAATGAATGAAGAAATTAACTAAAAAATACAATTTAATTCAGATTAAAACGCATTAATCGTTATAATCGTGAGTTTGATTTTTTATTTCCTATGTTTGTGTCGCAAAGAGATTACCATCAAAACAGTTATTACAATATCTCTGCCTTAAAGCACAATCCAGTGAAACACATATCAGTTAATCATAAATTTAATGTACGGTAAGAATCGAGTGATGTATTGAATGACAAATACATTATCTAAAGAGGCGTTCAATTAATGTTGCGCATCGCGTTTTTGTTATATCTTTTAAACTATAAGAGATAAATAGATTCTGTAAAAAGGATATAATAGAGAAAGCGACGCAGAATTTTTTCATACCCTATTGAGCATTGTAGGTCACGTGGTTTTCTAAATAACCTATACATTCCAAATCATTATGTTATTTTTTAAACCATACGAGATATAGAAATGGT